TGGGGGTGTTGGCCACACCTCAATCATTTCTCCTTCATTCTCCTCTCAGGATCTTGGGCACACACATACATGCGCCCAGTGTGAGGTTAAGCTGCCGGATCTCAGACTCAAACTGTGGTTGACTATGTGGGAGTCCAGTGGATCTTCTGCTCTGTTTTCCTCTTTTTATCTGCATTTTAGCTTGGAAAGTTTCTATTCACATTACCTTCAAGCTCCCTGCTCTTTTTTTGGCAATGTCCAGCTACTGATGAATCCATCAAAGACAGTTTAATTTCCATTACAGCATTTTTTATTTCTAGTATTTCCTTTTGATTCTTAGATTTTTTTTTTTTTTTTTTTTTTTTTAGAGAGAGGTTTTTGCTATAGGGTATGCGCACTCACCAGAAAGACAGAGAGAGACAGAGAGACAGAATGTGAGAAATCACCCCCCAGGGGGGATGGCCACACCACAATTCCTTCTCCCCCATTCTCCTCTCGGGATCTTGGGCACGCACACACACGTGCCTGGCGTGAGTTTAAGTCACCAGGTCCAGGACTCGAACTGCAGACAGTTACATGGGAGTTCAGCAATGTAGCCATTACACTTACTGATTCTTAGATTTTCCATGTCTTGGTTTACATTGCCCATCCATTCTTGATTGCTGTCCACTTTTTCTTTTACATACCTTGAAATATTAATCACAGTTATTTTAAGTTCCTGACCTGATAATTCAAAATTCTTGTCATACCTGAATCTGTGTCTGCTGCTTGTTTTGTGCCTTCAGTTTTTGGCTTTTAGTATGACTTGTAAATTTTTTGAAAGTTAAACATGATGTATCTTGTAAAAGGAACTGAGGTAAACAGGCCTTTAGTAAGAGAGTTCTAGCCTCCAGAACCGTGAAACAGTAGATTTCTATGGTGTAATTTCTGATTTGTAGAAATTCATTATGCCAGCCTCAGAAACTAATGCAATATATTAACACTGATTTTCATACTTTGATCTGTCCTTGCCTTCCTGGAACAAACGCCACATGGTCATGGTGTACGATCCTTTTAATATGCTGCAAAACTGACTGCTAGTATTTTGCCTTAGACTTCTACATCGGTATTAATAAGGCATATTGGTCTGTAGTTTTCTTGTCTTGTGATGTCCTTGCTAGTGGCTTTGATATCAAGGTAATACTCACCTCTTAAAATGAATTAGGAAATCTATCTCCATTTTCTTGGAAAGAGTTAGAGAAAAATTAGTTAAGAAAGATGAATTCTTAAGTGTTTGGTAGAATTCACTAGTGAAGCCATCTAGGTTTTTCTTTTTTTGAAGTTTTTTTGATTGCTGATTCAATCTTTTCTTCTTACAGCTCTACTCAGATGTTTTATTTCTTCTTGAGAAGATATGGGTAGTTTGATTCTAGGAATCTGACCATTTCATCTAGTATATGTCATTTGTGACTATTCATAGTATTCTCTCATAATTCTTCTTAGTTGTGTAAGACCAGGAGCATTGTCCCCATTTTCATTCCTTATTTTAGTAACTTGAGTCTTCTTTCCTTTTCTTTTTACCTGGTCAGTCCTCTCCTTTTTATTTGTTCAGTCCAGCTAAAAGTTTGTCAATTTTGTTGATCTTTTTAAAGGGCAAATTTTAGTTTAATAAATTCTATTGTTTTAATACTCTTATTTCATTAACTTCTGCACTTATATTTTCTTCCTTCTGTTATCTGTGGGTTTAACTTTTTTCTTTTCCAGTGTCTCGTGATGTAAACTTATTTTATTGGCTTGTGGCCTTTTTTTTATAGTTTTTGTTTTGTTTTTGCAATAGGGTGTGTGCACTAGCCAAGGTAAGGTGTAGGGGAGAGAGAGAGAGACAGAGAGAGGGAAAGTAAGAAATCACCCCCAGGGAGGATGGCTGCACTACAAACCCTTCTTCCCTATTCTCCTTGTGAGACTTTGGGCACACACACATATATATCTGGTATGATTTCAAGTTGCCAGGTCTGAGACTCAAACTGTGGTCACCTATGAAGGAGTCCAGCACCCTAGCCACCACACCATCTGCTGGCCCCAAAGCTTTTCTTTTATAATTGGAGGCATTTAGAGCAACAAATTCCCTACTAAGCACTTTTTCTTTTGCTACACCTGATTAGTTTTGTTGTGCCTGCTTTTATTCACCTTAAAGTACTTTCAAATTCATATTTAACATTATTTCTCTAAATGTGTATGCCTTTAAATTCATATTTAAAGATTTCTTCTTTGACCCATTGGTCGGTCCCTCATGCTATTTTATTTGTAAATACTTGTGAATTTCCCAGATTTCCTTGTTACCGATTTCCAATTTCATCCCATTACAGTGGAAGATATAAAGGAAAATATTTTTTTGTGTGTGTATGCTCAAAATCCTGAAGGGAGGAATTGACAGGGATGAGACTGCAGCTTTACTGTCCCCATGGGAGGGGGGAGGGTGCTTTCTTACTCCTCCACCTCTGTAGAGAGCACAAATGCCCTTCAACAAATTAAAAGAAAAACAAACAAACAAAAAAAAAACAGGAATACATGAATACATTAGCTTAGGTCTAGGTTAGGATCATCATTATCAATATCAATGTCTTTTACCGCCAAACCTTACACCACTAGAAAGCCCACAACAAACAAAACATTAGATTAAATCAAGCACAAGAGAAAATGATGCAAGCAAGAGACAGTGCAAACACGAGATATACAAGGCTGCTGTCAGAGTAAGGGCATACTGTCTCACAGTAAATTTTTCTTTCTTTTTAATAAGTATGAAGAGTCTATTCTAAAATAACAATAAAAAGTTTATACATACATCAAATAGTAATATAGTCATCTATGATAAAGTATTACGTACTACGTATAGTTTTACATGCTATACTCTTACACCTGGTGGTACAGGTTTATCTATACCAACATCACCACTGACAAGTAATGTGTCCTCCTCCAATAATTACGATGGCTATGGTATCACTAGTTGATGGGAACTTTTCAACTCCATTATAATTTCACAGGACCATCACTGATTTAATGTTGTTATGTACAGCACTGCCATATGTGAAGACTTAGAAGAGCGCCTGGCACATCAAATGTATTAAAATGTAAAGATACAATTACTACTCTAACACCACCACTGCCACTATGCATGTACATGGGTAGATTAAATAGTGAGTTCTGAGGGCATAACTCTGAATCCCTCACACATATCTCATAGTAAAAACTCAATGTTGGGAGGAACTGAACTGTTTTCTAATAATATCTAATGGTCACTCATTAGATATCCTCAGATTGAAATTATTACTTGTCTCCAGTATCTCCTAGTACTTTCGCTTTTCTTTTTACAAGAGTAATAGTACTTAATTATTACTTAAGTAATAATACTTAATATGAATATTCTAGTTTTCTTAGAGTGATTTTTTTTTTAAAGGGGGGAGAGGTTTTTGTTATAGGGAGTGTATGCTCACCAGAAAGACAGAGACAGAAAGTGAGAAATCATCCCCCAGGGAGATGGCCATGCCACAATCCCTTCTCCTCCATTCTCCTCTCAGGATCTTGTACACGCACGCACACGTGCCCAGCATGCGTTAAAGCCACCGAGTCAGGGACTCAAACTGCAGTCAACTACCTGGGAGACCAGAGACATGGCTATTATGCCAACTGCTGGTCCCTCTTAAGAGTGTTTTTTACAGCAAATGTAAACAAAGTAAGTTTATTACTTGATTTATTTAGATGTTAGAAGCAATTTCCTTCTACCTAATATATTTAAGAGACCCATCTAACTGTTAACAGATACACACTGTGATGGTTAACCTTATGCAATTTGGATGGCCCACAGAACCCAGATACAAGGGGACTTCAAAAGGTTTGTGGAAAGATAGAGAATTAAACTACAAGTTTATTTTGGTACCTCTCTCCCCAAAATTGTTTTTTCATAATACATTTTCCATGAATTTTTTGAAGACCCCTTGTATATCATCAGACATTATTATGGATATATCTGTGAGGGTTTAAAAAAAAAACAAAAACAAAAAAAACCCCAGGTTTTTGCCCTAGGGTATGTGTGCTTACAGGAGAGAGACAGAGACAGTGAGAGGGAAAGTGAGAAGTCATCCCCTAGGGGTGTGGGGATGGCCATGTCACAATCTTCTTGTCCATTTTCCTCCTGGGATCTTAGTCACACATGCATTTGTGCCCAGTGTGATTTCAAACCACCAGATCTGTGACTCAAATCATGTTTGACCACATGGGAGTTCAGTGACATAACCTCTACACAATCTGTTGCCCCTGGGATTAATATTTAAATCAGTGGAGTTTGAGTATAGATTGTTCCTCTCCAGTGTGGATGGGGCCTTACCCAATCAGTTGAAGTCATGGACAGAACAAAAGACTGACCTCCCCCTGTAATGGAGAATTCTGCAACAAATGGCCTTCGGACTAGAATTGCAACACATTATTTTCCCTGAGTGCCCAGCCTGATGTCCTTATACATACCCTATAAGCTCTATGTCATTGAAGAACCCTGAATGATTCACACTAATTCACACACTTGCAGACTATATGTGTGAAATTAGGTTACAACAACCCTCACCCTACCCCTCCACCCCCGTGGGGAGTATGCACCAAGTCTTCTGGTAGATGTTTAAGGCCTTGGATGGTACCAAACCTCCCTCCCCCAAATACACCATGCTTTTACTGACATGTATGCATACCTATGATAAAGCTACAGTTACAAATGAGGCACGATGTGAGGCTAATAAAACAGAGCCATTGTAACAATACACTGTAATAAGTTATGTAAACATGGTCTCTCTAAATAGATTATTATACTGTACCACGGATAAATGAAATTGCAGAAAGCGAAACCACAGATAAACGGGAACTACCACACAGACTGATTTACAGTAATTTAAATCAAAAAAGAAAGTCATTTAGAAAGTTTGGAATCAAATATATCTTTTTAATATATATTACATATGTAGTTATATAAATATATAACATTATATGTATCAGAGAATTAAGGATCCCTAAAATTTATTTCCCACTTTTATTCCCTTTGGATAATAGCATGTTATCTATAGGAGTTAAGAAAACAGAAAGAGAAGAAATTATTGCAGTTTTATTTTAAATGCTTGAGACATAAAATCAAAATCATGCATATGAATACAAAGATGAACTTAGATGCTCTAAATACTAACAAAGCCCTGGAACAATATAACATATATATATTTTTAAACAAAGTTTCTTATTTCTACAATTAGTGGAAAACTAAGTTCATTAAAAGTACATAGAAAAGATAATTATTAATGATTTTCATGTTCTCTTTTCAATTATATGGCTCTGAAGATAGGATACTTAAGTGTCCACATCACTTAAAATATCCATATACAACACAGCAAATAGATTTATAACATTTTCCTTCAGTTAATAGTTTATTCACTGTGATTCTTAAGACGCTCCATGAAGGGTCAGCACTTAAGGAACTCTCCAGGTTAGAATCAAGCTAAATTTTGGGTACTTGGCCAAAGAAGCATGAAAATGCCAGGTCCTAGAACAATGAGTAGTAATAAATAATCCATAAGGTAGTATACTTCAGATAGACAATCTTAGCTTCAAGTGGTACCTTCCTCTTATTAAAGAAGTCTTTACTGCTGAGGGCACTGAGTCTCTGGAGTTGATTTGGAGGAGACGTAGAGAATTGAGTGTGATTTCTTACAAGTTTCCTTTTCCAATTTGCTTGTAGTTTCTCTTCCTTCTTTAACTTCTGTTTGAAGCCTTGATTCAGCAGCTAACCTACAGGCATTAAAGCATCCACTCTGAATTTAACTGTGGTTAAAAAATTAAAATGAAAAACCCCTAGTATAATGGGCTTCCAATGAGATTTGGTAATAGTATCTCTTTTCCTGTGTACACAGCAAAGAACTGTACAATACTGTTCAGAATACTGACTCTTCTAAAAGTATCTTTTTATATCAATAGGCTTAATCGTGTTTTAAAGAATTATTTTATTCACCATTATCATTATTAGTTTTTAATTTGACAAAAGAGAGACAGAGAAAAAGAGAGAAGGAAAGTAAAAAAGCAAGCCACCAGATCCAGGACTTGAACTGCAATTGGCCACGTGGGAGTCCAGTGCTTTAACCACCACACCACCTGCTGGTCCCAATAAGCTTAATTTTTAAAATGTCTAAAGAGTAATACTTTTATGCTTGGTAAAAGGTCATGGCAAGGTCTAAATTAAATAATTAAAATATGATGAGGTGCGTAACATGATAATCACACCTACCACAAAAATTTGAATGCTAGAGCAATATTTTAATGTTAACATGACAGACAAAAGGCTAAGCACAAGATAAACATAGCATGAAATGCTGGGCTGCATGTCTATTTGCCTCTTAAAAAAACAAAAACAAAAAACAAAACCTCACATTTTCATCTAGAAAAATAATTAAGGAAAAAATAAACAGTGAAGAGATATTTTAAAAGGCCTATAAAGATTCTTTATGGCAAGATCATTAAATTAATAAAGCATGCAATAGTGAAGTTCTCAATAAAATCCATTATCTATTGTTATAAAATTATCACAGGGGTGCATGTCTAAACTAATCTATGCAGAAAACAAAAGGATGGAGATATATTAAGTTAGCAGATGGACTCACACACACACAAACAAATATTTTGTGGCATTTTATTTGTTTTTGTTTAACCAGCAAGACAAAAATTTTCCAACAAGCTATTTGAGTCAAGCAATTTCCAAAATACATACATTTGCTTAAGTAATTTTTATAAAGCAAAAATAGGCAGAAAAAGAAATGAAGACAACACAGAAAGCAAGATTTGCACTGACTAACTCTGCAAATGTATCCTAAGAAATATATATCGGTCAAGCTCACTTACACAACAAATCACATAAAAACAAACACAATCAGCTGATTTCATTTCAGAACTATTCGGAACCATGTGTATATGTATCATCCACTTGAAGTTACTTTTTCTTCAAGGATATCAAGTTTTTATTTCTTTCTTTTTTCTTTTTTGGAGAGGTTTTTGCTACAGGGCGCATGCGCTCACCAGAAAGAGAGAGACAGAGATAGAAAGCGAGAAATCACCCCCCAGGGGGGATGGCCACGCCACAATCCCTTCTCCTCCATTCTCCTCTCGGGATCTTGGGCACACACTCACACGTGCCCGGTGTGAGTTTAAGCCACCAGTTGGGGGACTCAAACTGCAGTCAGTTACATGGAAGTTCAGAGACATAGCCATTACGCCAACTGCTGGTCCCAAGAATGTCAAGTTTTTCTATGATTTATAGGTCATAACGTTATTATATAAAATTTTAAGGAAGGGAAAAATAAAATTATGTTCCTTATAATAGTGATAGCACCTAACTCTGTTGAAATGCTCTCATTGTTAAGTACTACAACATTAGTTGCAGTATGACATTGTTGAGTACAACTTTAGCAACACTAAAGACTTGAAAAGTCGGAAAAAACATACAAGGATCTCTTTGTATTAAAGGTGGGCTGTGCCTCACTGTTTCAACTCAAATGAAATGTCTTTTTGGTAGGGCATGTGCACTTGACGGGAAGTCGAAGACAGAGAGAGGGAGTAAGTAGGAAATCACCCCCCAAGGGAGAATGGCCATGCTGCAATCCTTTCTGCTCAATTCTCTTCTCAGGATTTTGGACAAATATGCGCTCAGTGTGATTTTCAAGGCACTAGGCTTGGGATGCAAACCTGGGAGTCAGCTACGTGGGATCCAGTGCCTGAACCTCCACATCATCTGCTGGCTCCTCTAAGACTGATAAAGCCCCAGCAGCATCTTAAAGATCTCATTTCACAGGACAAACAGATGGCAAAATGATTGCATCACTAGACTCCCACTTAGTAGACTGTCGTTCAAGTCCCAGACCCAGCAGCTTAAACCTCATGCCAAGTGTATGTGCATGTGTGCCTAAAATCCTCACTTTTTGTTTCTCTATCTGGTGAGCATACATGCCCTATAGCAAAAATCTCTCTAAAAAAATAAATAAATAAAAAATAAAAAAAAAAAACCTCATCTCATAGGAGACAATCTAAACTAGCCACTATCAAATCACTATTGTTAATTTCTTAAATATCTAAAGATTCTTATCTTAAATGTACCTACCATCCACTGCATACAGGCATTCTTTATCTTCTTTTTTTTTTTTCAACCTTTTCTATTTTACTCGTTTAGTTTTTTTGTTCTACTCCTGGTCTGGCTGTACATATCAAGAACACTAGCCTCAGTCATTGTTACCTATCTTTCCCTTACATTCACTTCCTCTTACCTTTTGACTTCCATTATCTTTATTTTTTTAAAGGACAAGGTCCTTGAAACATTAATTCCTTTAGAAAAACATGTCCGACACTTTCTCTTTTAGTTGCAAACTCAATTATGCAGAAATTGGAGGCTTTGAAGTTTTGGAAAAAATGAAAATGAATTAGCTTTGATACTTAAAAATGTCAAAATAGGTATCAAAGCCTCTTCTTGAAGGCTTAGGATAAATAACTTCATAAACTATAAAAAGTTTCACCTAAGTTTTCTAGAAGGCTGACTTAGACTACTAGAAAGCCCTTTGAGAAGTTAATTAATTTTTCTTTTATGGCCACTTTTAAACTGGGAGGAAAATAACGGTACATTTATTCAAGCTAACAAAACATTCAGAGGTATATTAGACTGTTATTTCCACTTCATAAAATAAGAGAGTGAACTTTTTAAAATAATTCCCTTATTCAGGCATCCTTTCTCATTATACTCATTTTAGTCTTTCTTAAAGTTTTGAAAAAGTTGAACGTAGGCAGATGAAACTGGGGAATTACACTGCATGCAATACTGAGAAAATAGATAAAGATATAGATAGCACAGTTCATGCAGCGAGAGAGGAAAGATGCAGAGGTCTGGCTGCCTTGAAGAAAAGTTGACACTGACCTGGGAGCGTCTGGAGTGTTTCCACTTCTTCCACCCAAGACTTCAGCATCATCTGGAACGCCCACCAGCTTCACACATTTCTTTTCCTTCTTTGGCTGCATATCCATGGACAAATTTTGGTGAGGAAAGAGACCAAGTACTGGTGTGTTTATTGAACCTGCTTCTTCTAATTGCAACTTGTTTTCTTCTACATTAGACTGGGATGGTGTCTCCTCTTTCGGAAGGGGTAATCTAGGAACTTCTTCCCTGATAGCACTGTCGGCACATACACCTTTAGGGGTAGTTATATCCACGGGCAGCACCTCACGCCTCTTTTTGAGTACAGGCACTTCGATTTTTTCTGAGAATAAAAATCATTGAAAAAATTTAGTCAATGAATGAAAACAAAGACACAATCATACTGAATAAGAGCTAGTTTAATATAAACATTTTTACTTTTTCCCCATTCCCTTAAAATCCACTGTCTCTTTACTGAAATAAATCATTTTTATATTTTTTTCTCTATTAACTTTATCTTTTAAAGGTTATTTGGCTATCAATTTTTTCTATGGAATTCAGTATGCTTGACTCTAGGAGTGAACACTTAACTATCTCTTCCAATGTTTGAACAAAAATTTTAAGAAACGTGGGGTTTATAACATCCTCTCTGTTATGGAGATCTTGGATCATGTGGAAATGAGGATGAGGTGGCAAAGAGTCAAGGAATCCACATTCAAATCAAGTCCAGGTTAAATTAAAAACTTAGTAGCTGGCTGAGCTTTCGGGAATATATAACCTCTCTAGGTTTCATTTTCTTTTTTCTATAAAATGGGGTTTAAAAGCACCCATTCTATTCTGTATTGTACAGATTAAATAATTTTTAAAAAGTCACATTCTCTGACACATTCGGTAATTTGTGCCTTAGTCCTACATACAAAACATATTCAGAATCAGACTCTTCCAGGATGTACACCTTCTGCATCCAGACATGCGCCTCACCAGACTACCGTAATACCTTTCTATCCTCTTAGTCTAACATTTCTCTCTCCTTTATGCACATCATATACACAGAAACCAAATTAATTATTGTTTTCTACATCCTTCAATGTGACTTTCATTTTCAAAATCAAAACATTGGCAGAATCTGAGGAGCCATGGTAGTAGGAGAGGCTGGTGTCCTGGCTCCACATTGTTGCTTTTATATCATTATTTCCCCTTTCTTTTGCTCTTATAAAACTCACATCAAAGAACTCACTAAGCTTCCTCCTGTTTCTCTGCTGCATTCTGTTTACTAGACATTTGAAATTTAGAATTTTTAATCAGGGCAGTCTTTTAGAATCAGGGAAGAGAAAAAAAATCCCTTTTAAGCTACAAAACAATGTTCCTATTGTCAGCACCCTTCCTGCTATTGTTGAAAATCACTGGGGCTCATTGAGACAATAATGAAGAACATGATATGCCTTACAGGACAAAACTAGTTGAGAATTCTTAACCTAAAACATGTAACACCACTTTGGGGGGTATGCAGAGGGGAAGTTAGAACCATCACATTTCTTTACATGTGATACTCTGTTTAGCTTATATACAGTAAAATTTACTCTTTGTACTTTATAATACAGAGGTTGTACAGTTAGGCTATTTTCTATCTCCAGTAACAGACTTGCTAGATGTTCTCTAATATCTGTCCTACTCATTTTCCTTAGTAATAGAATTTTCATATTTAGTGAGAACATGGTTCCCTGAGAAGATGGCATTTCTCAGTCCTTCCTATAGGTAGGTAAGATCACATGACAAAATCTGTCCAAAGGGATGTCAACACACCGAAAACACATCCAGGAGCCTGAATCCTGACACTGTGGAGAGCTTCACAGGTTCTGGAATGCCTCCTTCAGACTTTTACCAGAGGGAGGGATACATACCTATCTTGTATAAGTCCCCATTATTTTAGGCTTTCAGTAAATAGTCCTAACTAGTAGAGCTCCCAAATATCAGGTGGTTCAACAAAATTAAACTCTTTGGTGGGACATTAGATACTGCAACCTTAAAAAGTCTTAAAAGTCAAGTCTCTACTATGTAATATGATAAGTTTAGATATAGAAGAAAAAACACATTATATTCATGCGTGACCGACATTTATTATTCAGTTCTCTTTTTAAATTTTCCTACACATTTTGCAGTACTAAATTTGTTTTCTCAACCACAAACACATACCCACAAATTACTTTAAAGTAATTATTTATTTAATTTTATTTATTATTATTTTTTATGTAGGGCATGTGCACTCACCAGAGAGAGACAGAAAGAGAAAGGAAAGCAACCAAAAAAGCCACTAGGTCTGAGATTTGAATCACTATTGGCCATGTGAGAGTCCAAGGTAACCTACTGGTCTCACTACAAAGTACTTTACATGGGGATTTGCATAAAGTTGGAGTAAGAAGAAAATCTTGATGTAATCTCTCAGAACTACTCATAATTTAAAAGACAAAAAACTTGATGAGACATACATACCTTCAGGTTCATACTTTAGTTTTAACTCATCTAGTTTAGCTCTGAGTTTCATATTTTCACTTTGTGAAACCTGGAGACATCTTTCATTTGCAAAGAGTTTTCGTTCAATATCCAGAGCTCGCTGGCTCTCAAATAATGCTTTCATTCTCTGGATAGACAATTCACCTTTGGTGCTTTCATTTTCTTTACTGCAATAATAAAAGAGAACCAAAAATAATAAAATAACAAATAAATATAGTAGAATAAGTCTTTAATTTTACAAGTGGACTTCTAATAAAATAACATATAAATAAATGTACTAGAATAAGTCTTTAATTTTATAAGTGGACTTCAAAAATTCAAGGAAAATGGTTATTATTTTTTATGTAGGGCATGTGCACTCACCAGAGAGAGACAGAAAGAGAAAGGAAAGCAACCAAAAAAGCCACTAGGTCTGAGATTTGAATCACTATTGGCCATGTGAGAGTCCAAGGTAACCTACTGGTCTCACTACAAAGTACTTTACATGGAAATTTGCATAAAGTTGGAGTAAGAAGAAAATCTTGATGTAATCTCCCAGAACTACTCATAATTTAAAAGACAAAAAACTTGATGAGACATACATACCTTCAGGTTCATACTTTAGTTTTAACTCATCTAGTTTAGCTCTGAGTTTCATATTTTCACTTTGTGAAACCTGGAGACATCTTTCATTTGCAAAGAGTTTTCGTTCAATATCCAGAGCTCGCTGGCTCTCAAATAATGCTTTCATTCTCTGGATAGACAATTCACCTTTGGTGCTTTCATTTTCTTTACTGCAATAATAAAAGAGAACCAAAAATAATAAAATAACAAATAAATATAGTAGAATAAGTCTTTAATTTTACAAGTGGACTTCTAATAAAATAACATATAAATAAATGTACTAGAATAAGTCTTTAATTTTATAAGTGGACTTCAAAAATTCAAGGAAAATGGAATTAAAATATGAGTTTATTTTAAAGCAAAAAATTTTGAAATGCATATTTACATTTTTGATAATATGCATTTTCTGTGAACTTTTTGAATCGCCTTTGTACAATGTATTTGAACTTCTAGCTAAAAATACTTATAGGGAAATTTTCAGTAACTAAGAAAATATATTTGAAATAAGTGTTAACAATAGCACTCCAAAAACAAAAGCAAAAAAGTCATGCACGCTCTTTAAAGGAAATGCATAAAAGGAGAAAATATTCTTTTCCAAATGTAACTAAGTAAATTCCTTTAAATTTTAAATTACATATTTATTCTCAAAAATTTGGAATATTTAACTTCTGAAGTTTATTTTATTCATTATTCTGTTCACACAGTCCTCCAGTTGTCAAGATCTTGGATGCATGTACACCCAGAGTGTTTTCAGGTCAACTTGGGATCTGAACCTAGTCAGTCATGTGGCTTCCAGCAATGCAGTTCAGGATGCACCACCGAGGCTGGTAATTATAAAAACATTTTCTGTATTAAAGTTCTTTGAGGGGCCAGCAGGTGGCATAGTGGTTGAGGTGTTGGGATCCTCATGGAACTGACATGGCTGTCTGTGGTTGGAGCCCTGGATCCAGAGGCTTGAAACTCATGTTGGGTACATGTGCATGTGTGCCCCAAAATCCCAAGAGGAGAATGGAGGAGAAGGGACTGCTGTGTAGCCATCCACCCTTGGGAGTGATTTCTCTTTCTCTCTCTCTCTCTGGCGAGTACACATGCCCTATAGCAAAAATCTCTTTAAAAAAAAAAAAAAAAAAAGCTTTACACTTAGCAATCAAAAAAGCCAAATATATTTATTAAAAAGAAAAATTCAAGTATTAATTAAAAGGGTTTTATCTTCAGGACCAGCAGAAGGCATAATGGTTATGTCACTGAACTCCCACGTAGTTAACTGAGGTTCAAGGCTGGACCTGGTGGCTTAAATATCACACCGGGTGTGTGTGTGCATGTGTACCCAAAATCCCAAGAGGAGAATGGAGAAGAAAGGATTGTGGTGTGGCCATCCCCACTTGGGGGTGATTTCTCTCTTTCTGTCTCTCTGTCTCTCCAACGAACATGCATGCCCTAGAGCAAAAATCTTGTTATAAAAAAAAGTATTTTATCTTCAATAATTAGTAATTATTACATCTTGCATAAAATGCATGTCCTACACTAAGATTTATTTTTGGTTGCCTTTCCCTTCTGGAATTTTCTTTTGGCCATTTCAAAACAAAAAACCGTAGTCATTAATACCACCTAATACATCTTTCCATCCACTAACCCAGACACTTACTTTAAGTTGTCAAGTTTTATCTGAAGTAAATCTGTATAATAACTATTATCTTCAAGAACATCAGAGCTGGTTGAGGGCTTAGATTCCATACTTTCATATAAATTCTACAAAAAACAAATATTCATGTTACTTAAGATAAGGTGGTAAAAAAATCAGCATTCATCTCTTACACGTTCAGAAATGGGCTCAAGATACTATGGTAAGTAAATTAAGAAGAGAAACTGAACCTATGTCTCACTCCAAAGCCCATGTGTCTAACCACCCTGTATGGTATGCTTGCCCTTTCAGATAGACAAGATGTTCACAGAGAAAAACAAACATGTAAGAATAGTCAGGAAAATAAAAAAAAGAAAAGCTATGGGCCTTACCAGACAAAATATACTATTAGGTTGTTGGAAAAGTCATGATGCAGTTTTGCATAGAAAAACGTAAGAAAAATACATGACTTTTCCAGTGACCCGATAGAAAACCTCAACAGTTATAGTAGTGTGATACTGATGTATAGATAAGCAGACCAATGGAATAGAACAGAAAATCTAGAAATAGATGCAAGTACATAGGAAACTTGATAAAGTATCTCAAATAACTGTGTTCAAGATTTAACAGGGATCAGATCTCTAAATGTAAAAAGTCAAACTATACAGGTACTAGCAGCAAACATGTAAAAATTCTTCTATATACAAACACAAATAAATAAATACATAGCTGATGGGATTGCAAATTGCTATAAGTCACATGGAGTAGTTTTAGTTTGCCAATATTTGACAAAAACTACAAATGCATTTACTTTTGACCTACTGAAGGAATTAACCTGAAGATATACCTTCAACGAAAAGGTGTGTATGTATTATAGATGTACTTTGAAACACAGTTAATTACTGCAAAATAGAATGATTTAAATGCCCAGACAAAGGAAATGGGAAATAAAATATGACACACACACACACAATGGAATCCTGCATAGATACAATGAGGAAGATCTCTATAAACCTACCTGTACTTCAATAAACAACATACTCATACTAGAAGGTAGAAGGGAGGAAAAAGAAAAAGCCCAAATAACCCAGGTACCTTTTGGACAGTGATCTGACTATATATGCTAAGGCTAAAACAAACATAACTGCAAACAAATCCTGAACTCTAGTTAGAAGGTTAGTAAGTGCATCATTAGGTATATTCTAGGACTGAGTAAATAAGCAAACATATAGAGAACAGTAAGAGCCAATTTTCTAACTATTGAAAAAGGGAGGGAACAGTGTGGTGTGGTGGTTAAGGGGCTGGATACTCCCACATGGTCGACTACGGTTTGCGTCCCAGACCTGGTGGCTTGCTTTCTCACTTTCCCTCCCTCTCTCTATTTCTGTGTCTCTCTCTGGTCAAATTAAAAATGAAAAATGAATGAATAAATAAAATTAAATAAAGTAGTTCTTTTTAAAAAAGAAAAGAAAAAGGTAATAGGCAATAAACCCTCTGGTATCAGATTCAAATGGAAGTTATCGGTGTAGACTCAAGGTTTATTTTGTGTGTGTATATATACAACACAGATATGATAATATATACATATATGTACATAAATATACACACAATTACTACATGAAAATATACACTCTTAGCTCTGTCTGCTGAGACGATGGAGAGGTGATGACACTGCAGTTCCAATAAGTGCATCTAGTGCCCAGATCCTGGTTCCCAAATACCATTCTCTATGTAAGAAACCAGTGCTCTTTAACAAAATGCTGAGTGCTGGGCTGGGGCAGGTGAAACAGGAGTACCATCTTGTGCCAGAGAGTGAGAAAGTGCTCAAAGAATCACATGATAGAGTATAAAGATGTATTCATACTTGTCAAACCTGGGACAATTTAGGTATCAGAATAAATAAAATTATAACCTAAGGATAAAATAAGAATCTATGAGGCAGTGTACACTGATATAAACAAATAATGAGGAAAAAGATACTTCTTTTCCATTTCTATTAGAATTCCAACTAATAAATGTAGATGGGATTACCATTTGGTAATCATCACTATTATCTTTTTCAGTCAATGGATTTTCAAGTACAAGGAGAAATAAGCACTTAGTCTCGAAGTATCTCCCCACAAGATATTTATTAATTACAAAGGGAAAAATTATAATTTCAGTGGTAAAACCTAGGAAGTACAACCTAACCAAACAAGGTTACTATCACCAGTAATGACATAAATAAACAGCATGTCCCACCTAATGTGATGCACTGAGAAGGGCAGTGTTACCCTATAGTATTCCTAAAATGTATAGCCTGAATCTAATCACACGGAAAACCCAAAATGAAAGACAATCTGCAAAGTAACAGAAAATACTCTCAAAAAAGGATCATGGGGCCACTAGACCCACAACGAAAGGTTCACTAAGACCTCTTTGGCCAACCCGAGTACACACATGTGGCCATGATCCTGGCTGATGACACGAGGGGGTGGACCACAGTGCAGGGACACTGTTGGAGATGGCTGCCTCTATCTCCCTCGTGGAGGAAATAAACTTGAAAAAGAAGTCAAAGTAATGAAAGATAAAGACCAGAGAACTATTCCTGATTAAGAAAGATTAAAGATATCTGACAATTAAGTACCACATGTGATCCCAGATTGGATTCTAGAGTTATGGTATGTTAGGTATGTTACATATACCTTAAATGTTAGTAGTAATTGGTAAAATGTAAAAAGCAGTTTAGTTCATAACACAATTTCAACTTCTATCAATGTCAAGTTCCTGAGTTTTGATCAACGGATTGTGGCTATGTAAAGCACTAAGGAGTAAAATGACATTTGGTTTGCAACTTACTCTCAAATGTTTTAAGAAAATAAATATACATACACACATGGAGGGAGAGAAACAGAAAATAATAAAGCAAATGTGGGAATGTGGGTAGAAGAATACTTTTACAATATTTCTGAAAGTCTGAATTATTTTTAAAAAACCGACGAATTTAGACTTCTATGGATGTTGGACAATATGACAAAGCACCATTAAAAAATAGTGGCAGGGGGAACCAGCAGTTAGTGTAATGGCTATGTTGCTGGACTCCCACATAGTCAACCGCGCGGCTCGTGTCCTGGACCCGGTGGCTTAAAACTCACGCCAGGCGCGTGTGCATGCGTGCCCAAGATCCCAAGAGGAGAATGGAGAAGGGATTGAGGCGTGACCATCCCCTCTGGGGGGTGATTTCTCGCTTTCAGTCTCTATGTCTCTCTCTGTCTGTCTGGTGAGCACATGCGCCCTATAGCGAAAACCCCTCCAAAAAAAAAAAAAAAAAAAAATGGTGGCAGGACTGCATTGAAAAATAATAACGAATAACACACAAAAAAGGGAAGAACTCTTGTAGGAAGCGGCCAAATATAAGCTAAATAATAGTGGCCTTTAAAGACAAGCACAGCACAGACGCTCTTGCTTGGGCCTATGCTGCACAGCCGGCAGAGGTCAAGAGAAACTATGTTTTCACCAGAGAAGGTCAGGTGGGGTTTATTTAGACCAAGAGCCATAAGATGCTCCATAGCTGCAATTGATAATACAAGACACCTAGCTTTACCTTCAGCTTCTCCCTTCCACCATTACCCTATAAAAGAATAAACCTGGGAAAGGCTCAGGGTCACAACATTCTCCATCAGACGTCATCTGCCTGATTCCCGTTCTTTTCTACTTGTGTGCCTGTGTCTGTGTGATTACTCCTTCCAAAATCCACCATTGCTCTGACTCTGGGTTAGGGTCTCCTTCCCCCATTTTGCCTAGCAGGTCTCATCAAACTCTTACTGATGAAATGTTGAATAGATGTCAAACCAAAGAGACTATGCTAAATTATTCCATTTTTATGAAGTTTGAGAATCTGTACATGTAATGTTGACACAAAGTTAGGTGGAAGTACTCACACACGGAGCCATGACAGTTTTAGTGCTAGAAGTACTCTACTTCGCTGTCCAGGCAATTACGAGGGACCTGTGTACGTTAAAACTGATTGAGTTGTACACTGAAGATATGAGCACTTACATGTAATAATCAGACAATAAAAACAAAAATGGGTAGGTTTGGCTCTACTAACAGAAACAATAATCAAAAATACTAAAAAGCAAATAGACCACAAAAAATAAGGTAAATATTGGGTCCTTCTACTGAAACTGAAATTTAAGTATGTAATGAAGAAACCTATTTGAAATATTAAGACATGTAAGCCAAAATTTGGCTGTGTTTTTTCAAGGTGTTACAAATACCTTAAATTTCTCCAGATTTCTAATTTCACCTAAAAGATGTTTTATTTCTCCATTCTTTTGTTCCAACATCGCAAGCAATCGCTCCTGCTGCTCAAATTCAGTTTGAGACCCTTTCATCTGTAGCAAAGTGGCGATTTGTAACTAGAAAAAAAAATATCCCCCCCAAATAAAATTGAATGAGAAAATTATAATAACTATATTTTTGGTATAATTCATATTTCACACTAAATTACTTCAAACTCATTCTGGAAACCAAGCTAAATTAGCTACTATTTTTTTTTTGTCTTAGAGGTTTTTGTCTTACTGCACTCACTGGAGAGACAGCGAGATAGAGATAAAGAGGGAAAGTGAGAAATCACTCCCCTTTCAGTGGGGATGGCCACTCCGTAATGCCTTCTCCATCCTCCTACTGGGATCTTAGACTTGCATACACGCCTGGCATGATTTTCAAGCCATCAGGTCCAGGACTCAAACCATGGTCAGCCATGGGGGAGTCCAATGGTTTAGCCGCTACACTACCTGCTAGCCCCACTGATTAGCTATTTCCAATCATTTGAAAAGAAAATTTTTATAGACAAAAATGTTTTGAGCACTCATTTCAAATTCTTACGAATGAGAACTGCAGTCTATAATATAACTATTTGTGCTGTTATAAAAACTAAAATTGAACTGCATGGCTGTCTAGAAGCACATTCTGAACTGGTAAGTAAGCCTGGCCAAATATGCACAAGGCTCATCAGATGCTCAACTTTCATTAAGGGTCTGATGAGACATCTCAGAAATTTTAATTAATTGTGTGTGGGAGAAAATATTAAGCTACTCTCAGTCTGAAACTGAGATTCATGAATGACAAAGAAGGAAAGCAAAGATAAATGGCAATACAAGGGTATCAGGGAAATTCTCAATGTAACATGTTTTAATTCTTCTTAAAAAAAGAATTATTTTATTTAACTTTATGTATGTATATATGTATGTATTTGTTTAAATTTGACCAGAGAGGGACAGATAGAGACAGAGGGGAAACTAAGAAAGCAAGCCACCAGGTCCAGGACTTGAGCCATGGTGAGCTATGTGGGAGTCCAGCACCCTTAACCACCACGCCACATATTAGCCTCTTAATTTTTTTTTTTTTAAGCAGTATTCAACTTGCCTTATCTTGAGTTACAAAGCAATCAGAAGGAAAGTAACTATTGGGATGTTGGAAACATCATGATGCATTTTTGTATTAAAAAACATAGAAAAATATGTCCTGACTTTCCCAACTACCTAATAGATTCTATACCTAGTATTCCCTTCTGCCTTCAGTATTTCTGGACCTGTAGAAAGCCTCAATTAATTTAAGTATATTTTAAGTAAAGCAACCAATGATGTAAGTTTGTAGGTATGCTTGTAAGGAGGAGAGAAAGATAACTTTTTTTTTTTTAAAAAGAGGTTTTTGCTATAGGGTGCGTGCGCTCATTGGAAAGACAGAGAGAGACAGAGAGAAAGCAAGAAATCACCCCCCCCGGGGGGATGAGCCACGCCACAATCCCTTCTCCTCCATTCTCCTCTCGGGATCTTGGACACGCATGCACACGCACCCAGCGTGAGTTTAAGCCACTGGGACAGGGACTCGAACCGTGGTCGACTACATGGGAGTCCAGCGACACAGCCATTATGCCAACTACTGGTCCCAGAAAGATAACTTTTAATATTTTAAAGGTTATCCTTTTTGTTTCTGCTTCAGATTGGAGGCCAGGCTAAAACATTTAGCCTAAGAAGATTTGGAAGGATTTCTAGTCTCTAAAGATAGTTTGGGACATCATAAAACAGTGGTAGATTAAGAGTAGTAGCACAACAAAACAAAGAGAGAAATATGAGAAAATTTACAAAGACATCATTCCCAAACAGGAGAGAGTTTCGGTAAACTAGACAGCAGAGTCTGGAAATCCTTAGAAATAAAATGTACAGCTGCTGTTTACAAACACTAATTTGCCAAAGACATGGAAGTATGTTACTACACTTTCATTTAACTCCCGAACAGTTATGTGTGGCAGGTTCTATCCTCACTATTTTACAGATGAAGTAACTGATACTCTAAAAAGTTAAAATACCTGTTCATGGTCACTGAGCTAGCAAGTGACAAAGTTATGACTCAGTCCCTAGGTCATCTAACTCCCAAGTTTAATCATTGATTTTTCCCATAGCTTCATAGAACCTGCCATTCTGAATAAAAAGGAAGCCTTTCCAGGTTCCAATTACCACGTTAGGGAAGTCAGGCACAATAGATCAAGGATCAGGAGTCCTGGTACGATACTAGAATCTTTCTAACTTCCACACGTTTTTTCTGTTGCCTCTTCTTTGACTAGAGTAATGACAATAAAACCCTTAAAATGAAAAGGGCTTGAGGATGTGCAAATAAAAGGGACTCTGACTAATTTGAATTTCATTCCATGATAAGCCTTTGTGAAAGAACAGAGGGATGGAGAGGGAGCTGGTTTTAGCTGAAGTAGAAACTCTAGGGCTGTGCTCAGAAGGTTATATGGCCACAATCCCTTCTCCTCCATTCTCCTCTCGGGATCTTGGACACGCATGCACACGCACCCAGCGTGAGTTTAAGCCACTGGGACAGGGACTCGAACCGTGGTCGACTACATGGGAGTCCAGCGACACAGCCATTATGCCAACTACTGGTCCCAGAAAGATAACTTTTAATATTTTAAAGGTTATCCTTTTTGTTTCTGCTTCAGATTGGAGGCCAGGCTAAAACATTTAGCCTAAGAAGATTTGGAAGGATTTCTAGTCTCTAAAGATAGTTTGGGACATCATAAAACAGTGGTAGATTAAGAGTAGTAGCACAACAAAACAAAGAGAGAAATATGAGAAAATTTACAAAGACATCATTCCCAAACAGGAGAGAGTTTCGGTAAACTAGACAGCAGAGTCTGGAAATCCTTAGAAATAAAATGTACAGCTGCTGTTTACAAACACTAATTTGCCAAAGACATGGAAGTATGTTACTACACTTTCATTTAACTCCCGAACAGTTATGTGTGGCAGGTTCTATCCTCACTATTTTACAGATGAAGTAACTGATACTCTAAAAAGTTAAAATACCTGTTCATGGTCACTGAGCTAGCAAGTGACAAAGTTATGACTCAGTCCCTAGGTCATCTAACTCCCAAGTTTAATCATTGATTTTTCCCATAGCTTCATAGAACCTGCCATTCTGAATAAAAAGGAAGCCTTTCCAGGTTCCAATTACCACGTTAGGGAAGTCAGGCACAATAGATCAAGGATCAGGAGTCCTGGTACGATACTAGAATCTTTCTAACTTCCACACGTTTTTTCTGTTGCCTCTTCTTTGACTAGAGTAATGACAATAAAACCCTTAAAATGAAAAGGGCTTGAGGATGTGCAAATAAAAGGGACTCTGACTAATTTGAATTTCATTCCATGATAAGCCTTTGTGAAAGAACAGAGGGATGGAGAGGGAGCTGGTTTTAGCTGAAGTAGAAACTCTAGGGCTGTGCTCAGAAGGTTATATGGCCAAGATCAAGAAAAAAAAAAACTTTTTTTCTGCTATTCTACAATGAAAGATTTATACCACCCTGACAAGGCTATTGAATAATCATTAAAACAATTAAACAGACCAACAAAAAAATGCAGTATTTGTTAAATATACTAATACTAAATCTTTAGTCAAGATTATTTTTAAAAAATATATAAATAGGGGGCCAGGATGTGGTGCAGTAGAACTGCAATTGGACCTACAAAGGAAAGAATCTGTGTCTGCATCCCAGAACCTCCTCAAGAACACGGGGGCACACCTGCCAGCTGACACTGGGGATGATCGCAGTACAAGGATTCTGTTGGGGTGGGCATTTCTCTCTCTCATGGAAGAAATAAACAGTAAAAAAATTAAAATATTGGGACCGGCAGATGGCATAATGGTTACATCATTGGACTCCCACATAGTTGACTGCAATTCAAGGCCTAGAACCAGCGACTTAAAACTCATGCCAGGAGTGTGTGCATTATGCATGCCCAAGATCCCAAGAGGAGAATGGAGAAGAAGGGATGGCAGTGTGGCCATCCCCCTAGGGGGCGATTTCTTGCTTTCTGTCTCCCTGTTTCTCTCTGTCTCTCCAGGAAAAGCATGCATCCTATATAAAAAAATCTCTCTCAAAAAACAATTAAAATACATTTTTTTGATCAACTTAAAAATATTTTTTAAATTGTGCAGTTCTAAAATCTAAGTAAGTATATGCCTTAAAGAAAAAGATGGTTTCTTTGATATGTTTGCACTTAGAATGCTGACACGAAATAGGTTTAATAAACTTGATAGTGATAATTCTATACCTTCATTCTTTGCATCTGTTCTCTATTAAATGCGTTTTGCTTCTTCAGTGACTGATATTTGACTTTCATACTGATAAGCTGACGTTCCATTGCTGCCCTTCGATCTTCCACCTGGAAAATATGAATGTTTACTTGTTTGTATAGTAAATGAAGTCAAAATCTAATCAATTAAATCACTGGAATATTTGTAAGTACCTCTGCAAACAAAGAGTTGCCTTTACTATTAGGATCCAAGACTTGCTGGACTGCCTGGTCCAACTGCACCTGAAGATCTTGATTTGTTTCACGAGCTTTCTAATTAAAGAGAAAACATTAAAGCAATTCAAGCTGGTCCTTGGTGCACCAGATTCCAGCACCTCTAATGATACCAATTCTCTGGTAGACCCAGTTCACCCAGTGTTTGGCTTCTAAGAGAATCAGTAACTCTCTATTAACCTGTCAATACCACCTCCAGAGGTGACTGACCAGTAATCTCCATGAAGGGAGGCACATTTCTATGCCAGAATTTCTTCAAAAAGTGCTTTGTAAGGAACCTGGCTGATGTTCCCTTCAGGGAACCAACCTGATGCTTTGGTGGCATAAAGCACCTAGCTGTTCTCGCTACTCATTCCTTATGGTGGGATAAGGCCCAATAATCAAGACAGAGAGGCCTAGCCTTTTCACCTTTTTTATCTGCCTTGGTGGTAGATAAAAAAGAGCAATCAGTATTTGTTTGATCAGAGCTTTTTACTTGCCACTTCAGCAATGTCTTGCAGGATCATCCCCTTTACCTCTGGCTGGCTCCCATATATCCCAGATCCTTAGGTCTTCTCAAAAACATGTTTAGAAAAGCCACTGAGGAAATTTGCAGTAGCAAAAGAGAACTGGAAGTGGCTAGCTCAAGGAACTATATATAAATGTCAAGGTTATGGTTTTCTGACACCTAAAGCATAACCAAAAAGGGCAAAGAAATCCCTTTAAAGTATATCACAAAAGAGAAAAAAAAGATGTAAGAGAAGTAACAATAATAGTTATACATCAATCAGATGGAAGCTGAGATAGAGCTTAATTGGACTTCCATGCTTACAGACTTTTAAAATTTGCTTAATGTTAATATAAATATTAAGAGTTGATAATTACATGCTATTGATATTTTGCTACTTCTAATACAAATTTTATAATCAAAAAGCCAAAAGAAAAGAAAAATAAAACAACTTAGCTGAGAGATAGGTTAGCAAAACAACTTACTATAAATCAGAAAAGGTGGTGTTACTGTAATCATTATACCTCTAGAGCATTATGGTAAGAAACTGCTTCTTTCTCTCGCTCTTCTTTTTCTCCTTTAAGCCGGTCTATCTGACGCATTAAGTTAGTATTAAGAAGTTCTAACTGTTCTTGTCTGTAGTGTAGTTCATTAATTTCTTCCTGAAAGGCGTTCTATTCAACAAAAATAAAAAAAGAGAAAATTCTCTTCGATAACCTTTCAAGTAGCAGCTGCTCAGTTTATCTGTCAATAATTATTCATATCCAAAACTAAAACTAAAGAACTAGTCAAAGTTGCATATTACAATTAAAAAAAGAATTACCAAATTCTTCAGCAGGGAACAAAATTAACAATAGAGACTACACATTTTTCCTTACATATTTAAGATTTTACTTTTTAAATTAACTTTAGCCGGCAACAAAAACTTCAGGCTCACATGCATTTCAACTTCCACTGCACCAACATTCTAAATGAGGCTTCCATGATGCACACTAGGATCAAAGTACCCTAAATTCTCCAGAGATGTCATTAATCCAAAGGTAATGCCTGCCTTCCATAATTGTGTAATCTAAATCTACATTATGAAGTAATCCACCTAAAAACTCTGCAAAACATTTTTTAATTAGCTATCAATAGATCAAAGTTATGTATTTCAAAGTATTTCAGACTTCAAACTAGCTCAAATTATTACAAAAATATGTAAAAATATGCAAGAAAATAAGGAAATGTATTTTTTAAAAAAACTCTAAGAAACACATGCCATAAAAATTACCTTCATACTTATCTGTTTTAGTCACTAAGAAAGACATGCCATAAAAATTACCTTCATACTTTCTGTTTCAGTGAGCTCAATCTGAAGAGCCAGCATCTCTGAAGACATGCTTTCATGTACACGTTCTGACATCATCCGCATTTCCTCTGACTTGCAAGACAGGAGTTCCTTCTGATGATCTACTTTGTGCTTCAGCTGCTTTTCGCTAAGTCTAGCTTCATCTAACTCTGCTTTCAATTTTTCTAACTGCAATGAAAAAAAATTCCCAATCTTACAAATTGAAAGATATTTTCTTCCTGAAAAGCATGAATAATTAATCCAAACTTATTGCAACGATGAGCCTACTGGGGTTATTTGGTCAAAGCAGACATGTTTCAACAGAGAGCGACACATTTCGTTTTATAACCACAGAAATAACTCATACAAATAATAAGAGCAGGTCTGGGTTCTTGAGAAGCAGCTTGAAGGCACCCTCTGCTGTGAAGAATGAACTGTGTAAACAGCAATAATGAAAAGAGGCAACCTGCTTAGAAGTTTACAATAGTAGTCTATGGGAAAGATGATGGTGGTCTGGACTGGAGTGGTAGTAGCATGGATAAATGTTTTATAGATCAAGCCCTTAGAATCAGTTGATGAATCAAATGTGAGAAATAAGGTAACAAATAAAGCTCCAAATTTCTGGCACAGGTGATCTGAGAACATTAGTAAAACTGAAAATATTTGACTAGTTTACTTTTCTTTTTTTCAATTTTGCTATAAGGCACATGTGCTCATGAGAGAGAGAGAAAGAGAGAGAGGAAAGTCAGAAAGTACCCTTTCCCTCCCCGCAAGGGAAATGGTCATGCCACAGTCCTTTTTCCTCTATTCTCCTCTCAAGATTTTGGGCACACATGCACATGTGCTTGGCTGTTTTTTAAGCTGCTGGTCCCGGACTCAAACTGTGCAGATGGCCATGTGGGATCCAGTCACCTTAACCACCATGCCACCTGTTAGCCCAGAGTGGAGCAAAAATTACTCTCTATAATTGGCCTTGTCTCAGTCCTAAATATTCCCTACCTTACTCTTTGCTTAGGAAATGAAAGAAACTGCTAAAATAAAAAATTACACACAGAAGAAAAAAAAATCATTATCAGTTATTAACATCTCAAGTCAGATTAGTTTGAGACAAACTGAATTACTATCTGCTAGAGTGGTATGCAGGTTGATTCCAATACTACAAAGGTATGTTGAGATGACTACGTCTGTTTTACTGTGTATTAGAAAAACAATGCCAACTCAAATATTTCATTGATATGGACTTATTAATAAAATAAAACATTAAAAATGAGAGCCAATTTAATGAGGAATTAAGCAATAGTATGTAGGTGGTACACACAAAAAGTCTCTGATGATGCTACACAAAAAAATGAAACTGGGAAACAGACTTCTGAGAAAACAAGACAAAAGTCAGGAAAGTTTTAATAGGGAGGGGTCTGGAAATGTCAGGGAATGAACTCTACATAAACAAGAGTCATGACAAAAGTTCTGAATTCCTTAGATGCAACCTGAAAGTACTGGGTAGTTGCGAGTATCAAAAGGAAATGGACAATCACAAACATTTTGTAGATAAACTGAAATGGAGTCCATCTAAGGTACTATTAGAGTAATTAAAGTGAGTCAATAACAGACTGTGTAGTCAGCCTAAGTTCTAATCTTGACTGACAATGTCCAGCTCTCTAATTGTGTCTAATTCACTCGCTCTGTCTAAACACTGGCTCTCTCATCTGTTATATAGAGATAACTGTACCTCCCTTACAGTGTTATCATGAAAATTATATCATATATATTAGTTTATATTTGACAAGCAAATTATAAAGGATGATTTTTTTCACATACATTAATTTATAAGAAACAACTGGTTTGTCTGTGGGATGACAAAGTAACTGTACTAATTCTTCTGCCAGGGAACTGCTATACTATGCACTGTGAGAAAGGAGGCCATGATGGCCAATAAACTAAAACTTCAGCACCAATATCCAGCTACCAAAATTAAATGATTGTTTTTAGTTAGTAAAATACCACTTACACACATCTCTTAGGAAAAGCCATGTTTTTCAGTATCCCCACCTCCAGTATTAAGATAATGGACAGACACCTTGATCCTCGCTATTTTGCATAGCTGGTACTTAAGAAAAACTTTATGATCTCAAGTTTACAGATGGCTGCGTAATATCCGAACCTTATTTTTTAGTTCGTTCACTTCCTGTCCATGTTTTCTGCTTAGTTGTTCTTCTAATTTCTCCAAGTGTATTTTTTGTTGTTGCTTAATAGCTTCACATTCACTGCTCAAACTTTCCAACATTCGAGTCTTGAGCTCAACTTCTCTCTGAAGCGTGTATTTTTCTTGTTCATAATTCTGGAGATAGAGTCAATTAAATTCAATTAAACAAATATAGTGTAAAGCTATTACATATAATCAATTCTCACCTTCAACTGTTTCATTCCTGTGTCATATATTTGCCTCTTTCCAGGTAACAACCATGTATTAAATATGGAATAACTTTGGAGCTATTCAGTCTTAATAAACCCGAGGTGTTAAAGTCCATGCTAGGGATATGTAACTATTACTCTGCTCTGTCAAGGAGGTAAAAAGTGCCCCATGGCATATCAACGTGTCAAGTAATCTCTTAGGAAAAAAAATAAATGGTACTTGGTTTTCATAGTAAAAATTATTAGTTTGATAAGATGCTTAATTTGTCTGAACAAAATGAAGGATAATAGAACAGGTGAAACATAAAAATAATGAATTAGCCTTTACTTTCAGGACACAGTCATCTGAGAAATACTCACAAAATGACTACCAAAATAAATATAGTATGGAGATAAAACAGGTACTTAAAAAAGGCTTTTGTGTACTAACAGGGAAATTTAGAAAAAAGGTTATAAATTCAAATTCCTTCAACAAGCTTTAAAAAAATAGGATGATATAAAATTCTATTAAACAAAAGGGAAAAAAATCTAAAATGTTTATATTATTCTTTCTAAAGCCCTTCTATTTTAAAAAGACAAAGAAAATATTGTTCAGCTAAGACCAAAATTTGACAAATTCTTTTTTTGCCATAGGGCACATGTACCTGGTGGAGAGCCAGAGACAGAGAGACAAAAGGTGAAAAATCAACCCCCCCCCAATCCTATCTCCTCTATTCTCCTCTCAGGATCTTGGGCACACATGTACACATGCCCAGTTTGAGTTTTACACTGTTGGATCTCAGGTCAACTATGTGGGTCAACTACATGATGTAACCATTACACCATCAGCTGGTCCCAACATGGTTTTATTTTCTACTTTGCCTTTAAGACTGGTACTATTCTTGACCAAGACTGGTACTGTTCTTGGTCAAGAACAGTACCATCCCTGGGGGGGGGGGAAGTGCCATAGTTACTTGCTTCCTTCACATTTTGAGAGCCAGTATAAAATATGTTACTGAGCATTTATGGAGAGCCCCCAATTTGAAAACATGTGATTAAAACATGTGGCCTGTAGATACATGCAGAAACTCGCTTCCTTTAGCTATTCTAGCAGGCCTATTGAGAAGCATTTACAAACGAAAGCAATATCTGCTTACTGTTAATGGTTATCTTCCTGTTGCTGATACCCAATACCAATACCGAGATATCAGGCTAAAGGAAGTCACATGCGTTTATCAGATTGTCCCCCAAAAAAGATCAGAGAAATTATATGGCTTCAGTCATTTTCACATCTTCAGATGATTTACACCCAAAAACAACTGGCTTTGCATTCCGATTTCTCCTCCCCCATTCTCTTTGCATTTCACTTCCTTCTTCCCCATTCCCTTTGCATCCCATTTTCCCCTTCCCCCATTTTCTGCCCTTTAAAAGAATAAACTTGAGGATGGTTCTGGTCACAACTTCTCCATCAGAGAAGTTGTGCCCACCCTATCTCGCTTTTCTATCTTTGTGTGTTTGTTATTGTGACTATTTCTAATCCACAGCCTTCCCCACTCAAAAAAACACCTGCTGAGCTGGTCCCAGCAAGCATTTACTAAATTAAACTGACTTATTAATTCATTTTTCAATAAAATATCTTTAGGCCTCACTATAGGGATACAAATGTGAACAAGACAGACAAAATTCCCTCTCTCATGGAGCTTGCAATCTGGAGATAATTAGCAGTAATGAGAACCTAAGAGTGAGTCATGGAAACTTCATACCACACAGTCAGCGTTGGCCTTTCTGCTGAAGTGAGATTTAACTGAAACCTGGAGGCTGAGGACTTGATCCATGCAAGGTAGGGAATGAACATCTCTATGGAAAGCAAAAGCTAGTGTAAAGCCAAAAATAAGGAAAAGTGATATGAGATGAGATCAAAAGTTTGGCAGGGGTCAGATAACAGAGATCTACAAACCTCACATAAGAAACTCGGATTTTGTGTTAAATGTAATCAGAAGCTGTGATAGGGTAGTCAGCAGGGATATGACATGACCATTTGTATTTTTCCATGACCACTTAGCTACTGTGTGAAGAATGAGTGGTAAGAATGGCAACAATGGAAGCAGGTAACCTGGTTAAAAAGCTATAGTAGTTGTCTAGAAAAGAAATGATGGTCTGAACTAGAGTGGTAGTAGTGTAGATAAATGTTTTGTTTGTTTTAATTTGCTATATGGCATAAGCATTTACCAGAGAGTCAGAGAGAAAGAGAAAAAGTGGAAAACACCATCCAGGGAAGATGACCACACTGTAATCCCTTCTCCTCTCAGGATTTTGGGTATGCATGCACATATGCTCAGCATGTTCTTCAAGCTGCTGGCTCTGGGACTTGAACCGTACAGTTGGTTATATGGGATTCAGATGCCTTAGCCACCATGCCACCTGGTTGACCTGATAGATTTTATAAGTCAAATCTTTAGAATTTATCGATGGCATAAAGATAAGAAATAAGGGGGAAAAGATACTGAGTAGCAGGGCCAACAGATGGAGTAATGGATACATCACTGAACTCCCATGTAGTCGACCGTGGTTTGAGTCCTGGACCTGGTGACTTAAATTCACACCAGGCACACGTGTGTGTGTGTGTGTATGTCCAAGATCCTGAAAGGAGAATGGAGGAGAAGGAATTGGGCGTGGCCATCTCCCCTGGGGGGTGATTTCTCTCTTTCTGTCTCTCTGTCTTTCTGGCAAGTGCACACGCCCTATAGCAAAAACCTCTCCAAAAAACAAACAAACATAAACAATACTGAGTAAAACTACTAGGTTTTTGGCTCAACAAACAGATGAATGCTGTTACATTTACTAAATAAGCAAGAGAAAATTATAAGAGAATGTTTTACTTAGTGGACAGAGAATCAACTATTCTGTCTGTATCTTAAGTTTGGGATGTCTATTAATGGACAGTTGAATACATAAACCTAGACTTTAGGGAGAACTAAGGGCTTGATATAGTATCATGGGGCACTTAGGCGCTATTTAGAACTCTATTTAGAAATGAGATCACCTAGGAAAAATGCTCATAAAAAAATCTGATGGTAAATGTGGTATGAAGGCAATCACAACTTGCTATTTCTTCTCAGAACATTCCTATTGGAAAGAATAGGAGTTTATTTAGTTCATCTTCCTTTAATGGGATAATGATGGCTTGGAACAAAATCTGAAATCTTAAGACAATAATAAAATAACAATAATAATAATTAGAGAAGACAAATCTTCAGTAGCTAAACACACCCTTGTCAGGATCTTACCTCAGTCATAGTCATCATTTCATTACGACATTTATCCAATTGATCCTGCAGTTCGCTTTGGCTCTCCACTAACTGTAAACCATACTGTGCAGCTTTTAGTCGTTCTTCTTCAACTTCTTTGAGCTTGCATCGAAGATCTGTGATTATATCTGCCTCCATCTTCTTTTCCTGCTTTTAACCCTCTGTAAATAGAAATAAGACTACTTAAGCTTCAACAAAAAACTCCATACAGTATCAATAACAAAAGACATATACCTACTCAATACCACTTCCATATAAAAAAAAGTGTTAAGATTTTCTTCCTGACTAATAAGCAGTTCTGATGACATTGTAACCTGAGACCAAATCAAAAAGGGCAGAGAATATATTTACTTGTGTTTCTAAGAAATTCACTAACATGTGACCAGCAGTTAGCATAATGGCTATGTCACTGGACTCCCATGTAGTCGACCGCAGTTCACGTTCCGGACCCGGTGGCTTAAAACTCACGCCAGGCGCATGTGCGTGCATGCCCAAAATCCCGAGAGGAGAATGGAGGAGAAGGGATTGTGGCTGGCCCTCCCCCCTGGGGGAGGGGTTTCTTGCTTTCTGTCACTGTCTGTCTGTCTGGCGAGTGCACACGCCCTATAGCAAAAACCTCTCCAAGAAAAAAAAAAAGAAATTCACCAACAAGAAACTGGTTGTTATGTGCAAAACTTCCTTAAATGCTAAGACAGAAATGGTCTTGTAATTGTATCATAATGCACACAATAAAGTTAGGAGGACAATGAATCAATAAACTTTATAGTAGCATGATGGCTTAAAAGATAAAAAGGTGGCTTCAAATAAGGTTCATAAGGTAAAGCAAGGAATACTATATGATTGAATACCATATAGTATTAGTTTCCTGTACATATTAAATTTTGTTTGTTGAAAACAGAGGAATATTTTCCAAGTTATTCATAAGAGAGCATTCATGTGAGAGTACTTGCAAAACAGAAACAATGTTCACAGCAACTAAGGACACTGCTCTCATTCTAGATTTTGAGATTCAAACATTATATATAGAGGGATCCCATTTTCACTCAACCTCACTCATCATCTTTTCCTATTTGAAGCATTGCTAGGGCAGACCCAAACACAGCTTTGCTTTCAAAAAACACAGGCCAATACTAAGGTAAATTTTGTCATGCACTGAATGAGTACTTCCTGAATTCCTTATGAGCTAGGCTCCATTCTGGGCACTTTAGTTTCATTAGAGAATAAAATGGACAAAAAAGTTCCTCCTTCTTAAAACTTAATATTGCAGTGGGGGAAGACAAACAATACAATAAAATACATTAGAAAGTGGAAATGGAAGCTCAGAAGAGATGGCTGATGTATGTAGGAGACAGAAAGATGAGAAAATTAGCCAGGTAGCTTTTTAGGGGAAGAATGTTCCTGGCAGAGGGGGAAGCCCTAAGTTGGAAGGAAGCTCAAGAAATAAAGATAGAATGTAGGTCAGATCAGAGATAATGGCAAGTGGGCAAATTAGATGATTACAAGGGTTTTGGCTTCTAGTCTGTGTAAGATAAGAAATTATTCCAAAGTCTGTAGTAGGGGATCTGATACAATTCAAAAGGATCCCTTTGGCTGTTATGTTGAGTAGTCGGGAGGAGAACAAGGTTGGTAGTAGAGAGATCATGGGAGATGATGGCTCAGATTAGGGTAGTAGCACAGCAGGTGGGAGAAATGACCAGATTCTGCACATACTCTGATGGTAAAATCAATACTAACAGAAAGAATGTGGCATACATTAAAAAATGGAAGCATCTACAATGCCTTCAAGTATTCTGGCCTGACCAACTAGTAAAACAGAATTGTTATCAACTAAGGTACTAAAGAATGTTTTGAAAATCAGAAATTCAAGTTTTAGCCATGAAACCTATCAAGTAAGCAGTTGAGTAGCCTATGAGTAGCCAAGGGATCTGGGCTGAAGATAAAAATTGGAGAGCTAGCAGCATAAGTCCTTGAGACTTGCTATCACCAAAGTGAACATAATAAAGAGAAAGATTCAAGGACTGAATCTTGATATGAGATGGGGAAGACAACAAAACATACGCAGGGGTGACCAGTGAAGTAAGGGGAAAACCACGAAGGTATTGTGCTACAAGCCAATAAACAAAGTGCATTAGGAGGAAGGTATGAGAAATCATGCCAAATGCTGCTAAGTCAAAAAAAGTGAGGACAGACAACTGGTCATAGGATTGGACTTCATGGAGGTCACTAGTGATTCCAAGTGCAGTTTTGGTATAGGGTGGGGGTGAAAGACTGACTAAAATTGGTTTGAGAAAAAAATATAAGACAAATACAAGACAACAGGTACAGTTTTGCTGCAAAGGAGAACAGAAATAGGAAGCAGTGCTTGGAGAGAACAGAGGGACAGGATTTTGTTTTTTCAGTTTTAAGATGAAAGAAAAAGAATAGTATGTTTGTAAGTCATGAGCTAAATCCAGGAGAAAAGAAAAACTGATGCTATAGATGGTACTGGAGAATTGCTAAAGTGATGTCCCTGAATAAAGAGAATGAAATCTAATGCACAGCCTCATTTAACAAAGGAGCATGGATATTCCATTTAAAATAAGGATAAGCAAAATAGGAGTACGAGTGCTGATAAGTGGTAGATATACTGATTGTAATAAGTACCTCTCTGCTTGAATTAGGAAGCAAGGTCTTTAACTGATAATGAATACAAGGATATATAAGGTTTTAGGACAGGGCGGCGGGAGGATATCCTAGGTTATTCTAGGCTGACAGTTACTACTCTAAAATGCAAGACATTTTCAAGACCTGTATGTAATGTGGCCAACAGTCTAAGTGTTACACTGTCAACATATTTGTTGGGGATTTATCATTTGCCAAGTGTTCAAATACATTATCTCAGTTCATTTGCTTGATGAGCCCTGAGTTTAAGTAAATATTACTATCTCTGTCTACCAAAGTAAACATGAAGTCAACTTCAAGACATTTCATCTAGGAGTATCCAAAGAAGCCAAAGATTAACTCTCATTTATTCAAAAGATCTCTTGGAATTCTATGACATACTAATGCTGTGAACACAATGGTGACCCCAAAACTAAACAATATCCCTCTTCTCAAATCGTACAGTCTACTAGTAAGAAGGCATTAAATTAAAAAACTGTAAGAGTACGAGGATTCTAAGTGAGAGAGAGAGAGATTTGTGGTGCTGAGCTTACTCGGGAGAACCATCCTAAAATTGGTAAAGGGGGGTAGGATAGGAGGGAATATAAATAGGATAGATGTACCTGAAGAAGTGACTTCTCAGCAAGGATTTAATACAATAAATAATAAATCGGGAAGAGTTAACCTATCAACCTGCAAGGAGAGGTAGTCATTGTTGAATAACAACCACAGCTGACATGTACTGGTCATTGTGCTTGGTGCTTCATGTACTATTTTACTCAATCTTCTCAATCCCGGGGTAGAGGTATTTCCCCTCTTTCACACATAAGCAAACTTAAACACATAAAGTTTAATGAACTCACCTAGGGTTATCAGCTAGTAAGTGGCTTAGTGACCACTTTGTTGTCCTTTCCTTCAGAACTACAACATACACAGGGCATCCAGAGACAGAAATTCTGGGAAATCAAGCCGCCTGTTTTTATCTCACCTCCACTATGCGTGAATTTGCACAAGTTATTAAAAGTCTTGTTTCATTATTTAGAAAAGTAAGACAATAACGTCCACCTAACAGGATTCTTGAGATTAAATCTGCTGATGGATGAAAAGTAATCAGGATACATTATGTAATTGGGACAGTAAAACAGAAATACAACGTGAGTCACTCCTGTGATTTAAAATTTTCTAAGAGCCACATTTTTAAAAAGTAAACACGCGTGAAATATTAATTTTGACATTTTATTTAACCCAACACATGCAAAATGTATCATTTCCAACAAGTCGTCACCATAAAAACTGAGACATTACACTTTTTGTGTATCCTCTCTGAAACCCAGTGTATATTTTATATCAATATTTGCAGCATTTGTCAACTCGGGCTGCCACGAGTGGCCAGTGCTATCATACCGGGCAGTGGTTAACATTCTGAGGGCCAGGGAGCCGACTCGCCCTTCCATATTTAACCAGAATCCCAGAGGGCGGCAAGGCGGTCCAACCGAAGACTGAGACCGGCTCGGAACCAGATATATAAGAACTCTGGGTTCCGGGGAAGATTGTGTTCCGGCCAAAGATCTCGGCCGGGACCCAGGTTCCAGATTTCCTCAGGCCCTGCTCGTCCCTCCCCACCGTTCCTCCCACACCCAGCTCTCACCAAGTCCTCTGTCTCTCTCCTCACCCCTTACCCCTGCTGCTGCAGCGGGAGGCGGATGATGACAACTCGGGGCGCCCAGCTTCGTGACTCTAACTCTACCTTCCCACAGAGACGCGGCCCTTTCACTCAGCAAGCCCTCGGGTGAGCGCCAGGGCCGTTTGAATACAGTTCCCGCGAGAACTCCCAGTTCTCACGAGATGTTCCGCCGGGCCGCGCGTGAGGGAGAAGCCCCGAGGGACGTCCAACTGAAAGCACCGCCCTCCCTGAGGGCACAGGCGTGGCTCCCTCTCCTCTCTCCCCAATGGTTGGTTTTCTAGGTACCTGCTTTCAGTTTCCGTTTGGGGTTTGGTTGTTCTGACGACCGAGCCTTCTGGAGAGACTCCGCCCTGGCGCCCGCCCGCGCGCTCTCCGCCCGCCCTCCCGGAGCTGGAATCAGCGCGAGGGTGCCTGAACGCGTCTCCTGACAGAACCACCTTTACCGGAATAGGACAGGATGACAGTTACCCTTGCAATGGTATTAATATTTGAGTTCTCACCACTTGCCAGTACAGTGCCAAATTTTACTTAGATTATCTCTTGAAAGCCCGCAGTCAGCCTTAAAATAGATTACTATAATCTGTGCCCCTTTCTACAAAAGAAAACTGCCCAGAGGAGAGTTTTTGTCCTAGTGAGACAACTAAAATTCGAACTAATGCAGTCTGATTCTACAGTCCAAGCGCCTGTTAACATGTATTTTGAAAAAGTAATGTTTCGTAAGCTTGATAAGTTATTTAAAAATATAAACAGACACCAGCAGTTGGCGTAATGGCTATGTGGCTGGATTCCCATGTAGTCGACCACGGTTCGAGCCCCGGACCTGGTGGCTTAAACTCACCCGGTCATGTGTGCGTGCATGTGCATGCACCAGACCCTGAGAAGAGAATGGAAGAGAAGAGATTGCGACGTGGCCATCCTCCCTGGGGGATGATTTCTCGCTTTCCGTCTCTCTGTCTCTCTGTCTTTCTGGTGAGTGCACTGCGCCCTGTAGCAAAAACCTCTCCCCTCCCCCCCAAAAAAATATTTAAGCAATCAATAATAACCTAGGGGCAGCCAGGTGGTGTGGTGATTAAAGGCTCTGGACTCCCACATGGTTGACCGCAGTTCAAGTCCCAGACCTCGTGGCTTGCTTGCTTGCTCGCTCGCTCACACTCTCTCTCTCTCTCTCTCTCTCTCTCTCTGCCCCTCTGCCGGGGTCTGGCCTCGGCAGTGGAGGGTGGCTCGTACACAGGAAGGCGACACGGGTGATCAGGAACAACAAGTTAGACTGAGAACTCTTTGCTCCTTAGCATGTTCTCAGCCGGCCACAGCCAGCGCCAGCTCCAGGCTGCTGCCCCATGGCTAATAGGACAAGCGTATTT